GGTCAGCCTTGGTTCTTCCCCACCACAACAGCTGCCCCAAAGCCTGGCTGGACCTGCTCCCACAGGGTCCTCCTGCCAATGGCAAGATATGGCCATCCCCACCCTGTCTGGCAGCCTCCAGGAAAAGGGCTTGGTTTGAAGACTTGCCTAGGGTAAGGCTGGATTCTTGGTCATGACCCGAGGTGGGAGAAACCATGATGTTCTGGCCAGAGCCAGTAGCTTCCTGGGAGAGCCTCTCCCTCCCGCTTTCCTGCCTTCTTCAGAATAAATTACCCAGGCCACAGCCTCTGCCCTTGGCATTAGCTAGAGGGGAATTTTCTAAAGGATGAAGTTCCTGGGAAATGTCCACCCTTTTTTCCTTTTGTCTTATGACAAACGTGCTGCTAATGGATCCCGCTTGACCTGGGAGTCTTGGCTGGGGGTTCCTGGGGTCAGAACCAGCTAAACCAGAACATGGAGACGTTGACCTTCCCCTCCTCTGGTGACAGTCCCAGTAGGCTGTCTACTATCACTCATCCTTGTCATCCTTCCCCAGGGGAAGGGTATGGCCCACTTTAGGCTCTAGATCCAGGAATGAGGCATCCTGTGCAGAGCTTCTGGGAAGAGCCAGCCCTCCATACTCTGGAGAGAGACCCAGAAGATGGAAGCTGCAGGACTTACTGGCAGCGGCGGCAGGGGATGGTCCCATCTTGTCAGTATTGGGTTCAGGCATGTCCCATTCCTCACCCTCAGACTCTGCCTCTCCCCATGTTATTGACTGGGTCTCATTTCCTGTTGGGGCTTCCCAGCCTCCACTTACCTCCAGAGAGGGTGGAGCTGGGCTGCCCTAGCTGATCAGGGCCCCATCCTCAGACAAGGTCCTGAGGCCTGGGCAAGCATAGCCCCCACAACCGACAGAGGGTCAGGCAGTCCTGAGAGGCCTGGAAGGGCCTCCCTCAGGCACATGGCATTCCCAGTAGTGAAGGAATGGGCAAGGCAGGCAAGTGGGCAGGAGCTCGGCCTCTGCTCAGCCTCCCCTCCCTGTGTCTTGAAAGGCAAGACGAGGAACCCCAACCTGTCTCTGCGGTGCCAGCCAGGACAGGAGCAGGCTTGCTAAGTTCAGGGGCTGGTCACACCAGGGAGGGAGGGAGCAGGAAGCACAGCTCACACCTGGCTGTTTACTTCTCCTCCTGCTGGGAACAGCCCCTCACTGGCCCACCCCTGCCCAAACTGCGCTTCTGGCCTGCCCTTGCGTTTCTGCCTGCTCCTGACCACAGAGCCCCCAGTTTCTGCTGATGTTTTGTGCCTGTGACCTTCACACAAATAGAGGAAGAGTAGGGGGAAGGTGGGGACTTCTTCACCCTCTGTCTGGAAGGTGAGAGGAGGAGACAGAAGTCTGGGAGCTTCCTATGCCAATAAGGAGGCCTTTTTTCAAAAGCTCCACTAGATGCCCGGCTCTGGCCAAGCCCCCAGCGGTGCTCCAAGGGAGGGGAGCTGCGCAGCTGCAGGCTTTGTCATGATTTCTGGCCACAGGTGGAAAATTATTCCTTTAAATTGGGTCAAAGACTTCCTTAAAGGGCTCCCCTCACCCAGGCCCAACTACAGGGAGCACCTTCAAATGGGAGGAAAATATACACCCAGCCCCCAGGCAGTAGCAGGCTTATTTTTTTCCCTTTGGGAAAAGCAGCTTATTAAGTGTGGTTAACGGGGCTTTTCTTCAGGACTACCATTTCCTACTTGCTAGCCCCAGCCCCTCCCCCCTTCCAAAATAACACATTGGAGTAGTTTTCCTGGGATTTTCCCTGCAGGTTCAATTATGGGAATCAGCATAAGAACCAAGTTGTGAAACCAGTGAATCCCCACTGCATGGGGTAAATCCTGCTGACAGACTTTCCTCCCTGGTATTCCTCCAGAGCACCCCTCCATCCTAAGGTCCACCTTCCCCACCTCAAGGATGCTGCCACCTCTTCCTCCTCCTCCTGGAAAGATAACTTCTGCAGCCAGGCGTCTGTAATACGGAGACCTCCACCAGTGAACTGGGCCCCTCAGGTGCTGGGAATGTTTACAAGGGAAAGGTCTGGAAGGTGCCAGTCCCCCTTCTCCCCTCCCAGACCAGCACATCCTCCCTGCAGGCAGCCCTGGGGTGCCTCCCCCAGCCACCTCAACACCTGACCCGTGGGCCTTGGATATTTTCTTCCACATCTCACCATCAGCTTGCTCAACGGCAAGCGCTTTGCCCTCTCAAGGAAGGGCCTCAGCTTCTCTTCAAGGTCATGTCCCTCTTCCTTGCCCCACACCCACCCCAAACCCAGTTAGGTTCGGTCAGTTATAATTGGCAGTGTCTTGTTAAAATTTCCCTTAAAACCGACTTTCATTGTATTCTCATTATATGAGTAAAGCACATGCATTGTAGAGAAATAATCTTAAAAAGAAAGATGAAGGACATCCTGCAATTCTTTCTTCCAGAGCGAACCCCGTTTTCACACTGGTGTATTCCATCCCACCAATATGGGATATGGTCACATTCCATCACCCACAACTCTCTGCTGCCAGCCCTGTCCCCAGGTGGCCCCTCACCCACCCCTGCTCCCGCCCACCTGGCCTCTAGTCCCCAGTGTGCCCTGCCTCTGTTTCTTGCATCAGCCCTCAGGATCTGTCTGGTGGTGTAATCTCCTGCTTCCACCCCCACAAGGCCATCTCTGCCTCAAATCCTACTGTTTCTCTAAGGCCCTCTTTAGCTTAGTCACTTCTTCCCTGAAGCCTCTAAGTTTTATTTCCACCCCCTCAAAAAAAAAAAAAAAAAAAAACAACAAAACCATAAACAAACCCGAGAAAGACCCTTTCTCCTTCTGGTCAATGGGGAAGCTGAAGTTCGGTATTTTTTGACCACCAAATGATTGCCTTCTTTCTCTCTCTGATGTCCTTGTGTGTGCCCTTGTGTCTTAGTCACGGCAGTGTCTGGCACACAGGCCTGAGCCTGCTTTATAAGAAGGGGCCAATGAACTGTTGCCAGGACTGCAAAGGCTGGAAGGAGTCCCAAAGGCTGTGGACCCTAGGGCAAGGCCAGGCTGGAGGGAAGGGGAGTCCAAGGAGCCACCAAACACCATGCACAGGACAAGCAGTGACTCACCAGCAAGCCAGCCTGGCTGGGTGACATGGGTCCCCGTGCATGGGCAGCTGCAGGGCCCCAGCAGGTGGAGTGAGGCTTCAGAGAGGCTGGGTCTTCCCCACCCCAAGGCAGCCCCCCTGGAGGCCCACCCAGCAGCCACCTGGCTCCCAGCACTGTGCCTCCTCTGGGCCTGCCATGCGCAAGGCCACTGGGTCTGGGCAGCCTGTGGAGTCAGGCCACCTGTGGACCTTTGCTGTTGTACTGAAGAGCAGGCTGGGTCCTAGGCAGGGCAGGTGCAGCTGGTGGGGGCCCCAGATGGCCTCTGTCCTCAGGATTTTGCACTGTAGTGTTTGGGTTCAAGAAGTCAGTTGATAGTGCTAAGTCTGGTGCCCTCAGAAATGGTTTTGACTTTTGTCCTAAGCAGGCTTCTGGGTCTGTGCAAAGAGGCTGCTGCTGTTTCTTGGGCCCATGTGGCACTCTGAGAGGGTAAGATGACAAGGCAGGGAAGCTGGGGCACAGGGGCCTTGGGCTGCTTCTGAGCTCTGGCCCTATTCTCACCAGCTGGCCATCTCTAGAGCCTGTCCCTCCCACCTCTGCTTATCCTCGGGCTGCCACTCTCCTGATCCTGGACATAAAGAATCCAAAGGGGGGCCGGGCGCGGTGGCTCACGCCTGTAATCCTAGCACTCTGGGAGGCCGAGGCGGGGGGATCGTTTGAGCTCAGGAGTTCGAAACCAGCCTAAGCAAGAGCGAGACCCCGTCTCTACCAAAAATAGAAAGAAATTAACCGGACAACTAAAAATATAGAAAAAATTAGTCGGGCATGGTGGCGCATGCCTGTAGTCCCAGCTACTCGGGAGGCTGAGGCAGGAGGATCACCTGAGCCCAGGAATCTGAGGTTGCTGTGAGCTAGGCTGACGCCACGGCACTCTAGTCCAGGCAACAGAGTGAGACTCTGTCTCAAAAAAAAAAAATAATAATAATCCAAAGGGGATGGACAGTAAGGGCCTCTGAGTGGGGGAGGGGTCGTCCACAGACAGCAGTTAGGGTGCCAGAGGCAGGCTGTCTTCCCCTCAGGACCCTCATCTGTCTTTGGGATGTTCCCTGTATCTCATTTTCTCTCAACAGCAGACAAATGTCTCATAAATGATGCAACAGCGTCCAGGGTACCCTGGGATCAAACCATCTGTGATCAGATGGAATTGGTCTGTGTCCTGTTTTCACCTCTGAGAGTGTCCAGTGGGCAAGAATGAGGGTGGAGTTGGTGGGTAAGGTGTACAAGTGCTTAACCCAAACCATCTCCCATCCACTCCTCTCTCCTGACCTGCCTCTTCCTGTCAGCAGGTCTCACTGTCCAGACAGGCTGCACCTGTGTTTGTGCAGGTGGCATTCCGCTGAGAGCAAGCAGAATGCAGGAACTGTATACCCATGGGCCAGGTCCCCCCAGAGGGGCTCCCTTCACTGTTTGCACAGAGGTGCTGTGGGGGATAGTGGTGCCCTGGTTGCAGTGTCCCGGGTGTGGGCACCTCAGGGGACAGAGGCTGCCCAGAGGTCAGAGTGGATGGCCCCTTCCCCAGAGGGCTCTCTCTGCTGGAGCCCCAGGATAAGGTTGGAGGATAGTGTGGGTTTCTGGATGGCAGAGATTCCTTCTTTTTCTGAAGGAAGGGAGGAAGTACTTCATCAGAGGGAAAGCTAGGAAAGCCTGCTGGGGGGATTCCCAACTCTGAGTGAGCAGGGCTTGGAGCCCTCCTCACCCAGGCCTCCCTGAAGATGGAGGTGAAGTGATGGGCTGTGTCCCCACCTGGGGGCCACTGGGCTGAAAGCAGGATCTGCAGGTGAAGGAGTAGACACTGCGCTGCTCTGGGGCGGAGTTAGGGAAGTGGCTCTCAGCTCTTGCTGTGCTCTCTCTCCAGGCCTGCTACCTGTGCCACAGCCTCCTGACACTGGCTGGGGTGGTGGTCAGCTGCCAGGACATTACTCCAGACCAATGGGTGAGTCTCCCAAGAGGCTAGGGTGGGGTCAGGTGGGGTAGGGTTGGCCGGGATGGAGCCCAACCAACTGTCAGGAGCTGCAAAGAGTAGGAGGCTGAGAAGGAGGCCAGTCTAGGAAGCCATGGCCTCTTCCTCCCCACAGTGTCCCATGGGCCATTCCCCAGGGACACTGACCCATGCCCCAGCAGTTGCACTGGCTCTCTCCTCCTTTTCCTGCCCAGTTGCTGAGCAGTCACTCAAATATGCCCCTCTTCGTCTCTGACTTTGTTCTTCTGACCCCCTTTGGCTGTGCCCAGCGTGCCGCATCCTCCCCCACAGCCTTGGCCTCTCCCTCCACAGGGCGAGCTGCAGCTGCTGTGCATGCAGCTGGACCGCCACATCAGCACCCATATCCGGGAGAGCCCCCGGGCCATGCATCGCACCAGACTCAAGGACTTGGCTGCCCAGACCTACATCCGTTGGCAGGAGCTGCTGGCCCACTGCCAACCCCAGGTGGTGCCCCTGCAGCCCCCAGACCTGGGAGGGGAGGGAAGTGGTCAGGCAGGGCTGGCCAAGCCAGCAGCGTGTCCACCCCCACTGCAGCTGCTGAGCTCCTGGCCAGGACATGGGTGGAGAGGGCAATGTGGGGGCAGAGTGGGGATGCCTGGGAACCTTCACCGTTCTTACCTAGAAGCCAGTGCCCAGGCTGGGGTGGGGTCTGGGGGACACAGAGAAGCCTACTCCTGAGCAAATGCAAGGAAAAAACAGCCCCAGAGAGGGAAGAGCCTGGGCCAGGAGTACCAATTTGTCATGAATGGTGCCAGGAAGGGGCACCAGAGGCACCAACTGTCCACCCTCTGCCCACTTGTCCTGCAGGCCTGAGGCTGGCCTCCCACTCTGTTAGGAGGAAGCTCCCAGGCTTCCCTGCCCCTCCCCCCAAGGTAATAATATTCATAGCTAACATTTATTATGTGAAGACTCCTTTCTATGTGAACCCAGATAAACCACCATGAGACAGGTTGTTAGGACCCCATTTTATAGATGGGAAAACTTACCAGAGGCCCTGAGAGGTTAAAAATGGCTTGCCCCATCACGAAGGCAGCTTGCGGAGATGTCAGAATCAGGGCCGAGAGCCAGCCTGACTCCTAAGCCCACCGACCTAGCCACAGTCCAGCCCCTGCTCTGGCACCCTCCCTTCTGCCTCAGTCTCTCCAACAAGCAGCACGAGCTGCGCTGGCTTAGAGGCTCTTCCCTTCCTGAGCCCCCAGCCCTTGATGCAGATGAGCAGGGCCATGTCCCCAGCCCCAGTGCTCCTCAGCTGTCAACTTGCTTCTCCTCTGACTCCTCTCGTCCCTCCCCTGTAACCTCTGACTTGGGGCTGACACATTGGCCACAGGCTGTGGCTTGGGTCTCAGATTTCGCAAGTCTCTGAGAAAGCTGGAGAGCAAACCTCACCCTCAATCCCCAAGGAACTAGGTCACACTAGTCTCTGGTGGGAAGCAGTGTGTTTGTCATGAAAAGAAGGAAAAGTGATTCGTAGCCTCGTGGGGGCAAGTACCACCTTCCTTTCACACTTCCTGCACCTGTAGGCAGCGAGTAAAGGGGCCCTGGCAGACCGTTCAGGCCTGTTGACCTGCCGCTCCTTGCCTGGGCTGTGAGCCCCGGGAGTCCTGCCCACTCAGTGAGGGAGCCTGTGATGGGTGTTGAGTGGATGCCACGAGTCCAGGGAGTTTCAGGGCAGTGGGCAGCCGTGGGGCCCAGGCCATCACAGCCCGTTTTTTTCCTTGCCATAGGCCCAGTACTTTAGCCCCTGGAAAGAAACCTAAAGGAGCAGGGTCGGGACAGCCCAGGGCTCTGGGCTTCAGCAGGTGGTGACCAGGGCTCAGGGAACTGGAGGAAGTGAAGAATCAAGGCCAGAGAAGGGCCAGATGCTGACCAGCCTGATGAAGCAAGAGCCTGCCTCCGCCCGTGCCCCTGCCCCCACTCTGCCAGGGATGCCTCTCCCTGCCTGGCCCACCCTCAGCTCTCCTCCCCTCCCAGCCATCTCCTCTTCCCTAAGGCCTTTGTCTCCATAGCTCTGGTTTCTCTGGGCCTCCTGGGCCCTCCCGGGCCTCAGTCCTCCCCACCCTCCTTCCTCCCTCCTCTGTCACTAATGTGAGGTTTCTTTGTGCACATTAAAGTCTTATTTCAGCATCAGTGGTTTAGAAGACTTCCTTCAATCCCTGTCCTGAGGGCTGTGCCCAGCGTCCAATCTCCTGACGTCTCTGCTTGAGTTCTGCTGAGTTCTCACCTCTGACAGTTATGTGACTCTGGCCCAGGCTCCACCCCCTGCAACAGAGGGCTGTTTGCAAATCTCCAGGGAAAAGCAGTTATCCCTGTGGCCCTGCTGTGGCCTGAGAGCTGTCAGAAACTCAGGGATGGGGAACATTTGTTTGGACCCAGTCTGGGACCACTCTCCCATCCCCATCCCTGCTGGGGAGAATACACAGAGTGAGATGGTGGATCAGGGCTGTAATTACCCTTAATTCAATTTATTGCTGAGCTCTGAAATCAACTCCCCAGACTCGGGAGTGAGGGCAGGTACAAAAGACAGTTCCGGATCTGCTTTTGCTTCCCCTCAGACTTGCCCAGATCAGTTCACGGGACCTGATCCCTAATGGGGTACTGTCTTTGGCCTGAACCCCTTGAGAAGTAAGTGGGCCCTTTGTACCCCAGGAAACCCCTGGGTATCAACCTTGCCTACTCCCCCAACCCTGAGAATCCATGCTTAGTCTCGGGCCCCTCCTGACTCTTTCTGGGTTGGAATGGGGTTTTGCAGGGGACGCAAAATATAGCTAGGAAGTAGCAGGAGATTACCCCTGACAAATTGGCTATACCCACTCCTCAGTCCTGGGTGTCCACTTAGTAGGAGAGAGACCTCCCCAAAATAAAGAACCTTCAGGCCGAGTGGCTCACTGTGCTGAAGTGGAGCTCATTACTTCCTGGGCCTGCCTCAGACCCAGCTGCCTCCTTCACTGGGTCCCCAGATGCTAGGAGTAGGGGGCATCTATTATTCAGAGAGTACGGGCACACGCACGACACAGTGCTGCGTACCACGCAGGACACCTTTCTGCCTCACAGCCTTTGCCAAATGAGAGGTGGAAGAAACCCTGGGCCAGGGTGACTTGGATGCCCAGGCAACTTGACTGAGAGTTCCAGTTTCTGTTCCTGGCTATGTCACGTGCCCCCTTGGCCGGGGCACCACTGAAGCTGCAGCAGCATCAGCTCAGCCTCAGATCCTCCGATGAAAGAGGGGGGTTCTGGTGAGCCAGCCTTCTTCACCCTCCCTTAGGGTGCCCCTGCTTCTGACACTGCACATCCTGACAGGTAATCTTCAGCTATTCAGTTTGCTCTGGAAACCTGGAAATCACCTTTGAAATTTCCCTTCTTTGTTCTTACTGCCAAGGGCAAAAAGGGAATAGGGAGGCCCTGGAGGCTGAACCAGGGAGTTTCCAGGTATCGAGCTGGCCCTACCTGGCTCTGAGAAAGGGATTGACAGAGCTGTCCATCAGCGTAGGCATCTGGAGCCTTCCTGCCTAGTCCTGGCCCTTGTACACTGTCCGCTCCTCCTCTGCTCCCCGACATATCCATCCCCATGAGAGAAACAGACACCAGGGGGAGAGGAGGTGTCGGTGACAACTCAGTCCCTCCAGAGACCTGGCTGTAACCTGAGCAGAGGTGTGCACTGTGAGGTCATCCAAGGGCGTATGATATCCCCTGGGCCATGTAATGGGCCCTCTCTGGGACTGGCTGGGAGGTGACCAGGTCTCCTAAAACTAGTCTGCTGTCAGTTAGAGACTCAGCCTCCTCAGGGCCACGAATTCCACAGTGGTGCTGGCACTTGTACCAATTGCCCTCCAGGTCTGTGACCTTCCCAGATCCCTAACCCCTGGGGAAAGGCTGGGGATATCCTGATAGGAGCCACTGGAAAAGCGGCATCCGGGGCTGTGATGACGGATGTTTTCCTGCTTCCTTTTGGCGATGGTGGCAGGGAGGGGCTGGGAAGGGAAAGGCTTCCCAGGTGGACGGCTTTGATAACTCTCCTTTTGGAGGAAGTAGAGAGGGAGAGTCCTTTTCCTATGTCCCCAGTCACCCCAGTCCCCAGGCCCTCAGACCCCTGAAGGGTGGCTGACCCAAGAGTTCTCAATCCCCCATCTGTGGGTTGACAGCAGCTCCTGCTGCCTTGGAAATCAACGAGGCAGCGTTGACCATAGAACCCAGTGGCACCCTGGGCCCTCCTGCCAGAAAGCTGCTTCAGGAAAGCTGGCAGGTGAGTAGCTCAAATGAAGGGCACCGTGGCCCATAACCAATGTGTAAGAGAGAGAGGGGACTTGCTTTTCAAGTAAGACTCCTGGGCCATCTCTTGGGGCCAGCCTAAGCTGCCAGTGGATGCCTGGAGAGCCTTGGGAAGCATCTAGCATGTCTCTGTCTTTCCTTGACTTGGCCACAAGCAGTTGAGCAAATGGAGGGTCTGTCAAGACTAGAGTCCTGAAGGGTGGGTACCTCCCATAGGATATGCCAGGCAGGCCCCAGGGAGACTAGACAGGTACATGAGCCTTTCTCCTCCAACCCCTGCCCCGCACCTGTAGTAGCAATTTTTTTCTTAATTGAAGACCCAGGAACCCTCATTTTTCTGCCAGTTGTGCTTTTATTTAAAAGTATGAATCATGAGCAAGTAGTCATGCAGGAAACTTTATCCTCTGCCCACCCACCCACAGAAAAGGCCAGTGCTGAGAATGAACAGAATAGAGCCGGAAATGCATGAAGGTGGAAAAGGGGAGGGAGAGCTATAACCTTATCTCTAAGGAGTGATGGCTCATGCAGTCTGTCAGCTGGGGGGTTCTACGGTTCTACATAACTGGCCCTCTTGGAACCCAAACGCCCGCCACTGAGGTGCACAAGAAGACTGTGCCTGCCAGTGAAACCAAACCGCCTTTTGAAACTTTCCACTGGGGCCACCTTGGAGGTAGAGCCAGGGAGCTCAGGTCTCTGCCTGGTAACCCTCACAACTAGAGGCTGGGGCTGAGTCTTGAAGGTTAAGAAAAACAGCAGGAAACAGAGCGCTGTCAGGATGGATATATGGTGACTTTGTGGAAAGACAGAATTGGGCACTGTCAGGATATGTAGTGACTTCATGGAAAAAAAGACAGAATTGGGAGTCCCAAGACATGAGTTAAAATTCTGACTTTCCTTATTATCTAGGAAACTTGGGGCCAGTTGCTTAAACTTTCTGAGACTCATCTATAAAAAGGGAAGAAACAATACCTATTTTTTAAAGGGTGGTCATGAGGGTAGAGATAGAAAATGTATGTGAAGGCAGGTTACAAAGTCTATAGCACAGAACAAATGTGAGGGGCACAGGCCAGGCGCAGTGCCTTACACCTGTAATCCTAGCACTTGGGGAGGCCAAGGTGGGAGGATCGCTTGAGGTCAAGAGTTTGAGACCAGCCTGAGCAAGAGTGAGACTACGTCTCTACCAAAAATGGAAATATTAGCTGGGCATGGTAGACTGTGTCGGAGTCCCAGCTACTCGGGAGGCTGAGGCAGGAGGATCGCTTGAGCCCAGGAGTTTGAGGTTACAGTGAGCTAGGATGATGCCACTGCACTCTAACTGGAGTGACAGAGCAAGACTCTGTCTCAAAAAAAAAAAAAAAAAAAGTGAAGGCATTTGCATACCAGTTTGCCCCACTTAGACACAGGGTCAGGGTGGCCCATCTTCTCCCTCCCTGTCAGCTGAAGCAGGGCCTTCCCTGCCCACCCCGTGGTGATTGTTATCTCCAGCATCTCCAAGGCCACGGATTTTTTTCTAGAAGAAAGGAGCTGGGAAATGTGGCTTTGGCCAGCAAGGGAGAAGGGGCCTTTATGTGTACCAGCAAAGACCCAATTGTTACTGAAACCAAAATGGGCTGCTTTTCTCAATTATCTCCACTACTCTTCTGGTCTCCACTTTTCAGATGCCAAGTTTTAAACCAGAACAAAAGCTGCTGTCGGGACTGATTTATAATCCAGATCTGCTGACAGGGCCTAAAGTGTTCCTCCCCTCCAGGACTGCACCCTGGCTTAAAGTTACCATCCAAGCCTCAGGGCCTCAAGTCCCTTCACCCCTGCCCTTTGCTCCTAGCCAGGAGGTGGCATTTGTCTCCAAGTGCCCGTTGGGGTGTCCTCCTGAGGCTTTCTGTCCACCTGCCCAGCTCCCAGGACCAGCTGGCAGGAAGGAGGACACCCCAGCACCGCCCATAAGGCCAGAGCTACAAGTTACTTCTAGGAGCGGCTGTGGGCGGAGGCTGGAGGTTCTGAAGGTGCTGGTGCTCCCTCGTGGCTCTCCCCAGCCCCTTTCATCTGAACATTAGGGCTCGTGCCGCTTGTTAATCAGCCTGCCAGTGGCACCAGAAGGAGTCATTTCCTGGGGGTAGGCTCTGCCCGGAGCGTGAGAAACAGGCCCAGACTGTCTCCGGAGACTTGAGGGTCTTCCTGGCTGGTAAGGCTAGTCTGAGGGCAGGGACCAGTGGCGTTGGGGCCAAGAAAGAAGGCAGAATTTGGGGCCACAACACAGACCTCTCTCGTCTGCCCAGAAGAGAAGCCTCGGTTTCCCCAGCCGCTCCTCGCTCGGATAATCGCCCCGAGGTGGCTGGCCCGCGTTCGTTGCAGTAACTGGAGCGTCAAGCCCGATTCCCGAGCCTACCAGGGACACTTCAGAAAGACCGGGTGAGTCCGATTCAGCCGTGGCAATGCCCAGAGTCGCTCCCCCGCCCCACCTCCCTCCAGGCGCTGTGGCGCAGACCGCGAC